ATATCCCCCGCGGCATTTAAATAAAAATGTCCACCGCTTTTTTCCGGCTTTTAGAAAAGCCGGAAAAGAGCGTCTACACTGGCCCGAAGATCCTCCGGAAAAGGGCGCTTTTTCCGGAGGATCGGGGCCAGTGTAGACGCTCTTTTCCGGCTTTTCTAAAAGCCGGTTTGAAGTAGGAATAAGATCCTCCGGAAAAGGGCTTTTTTTCCGGAGGATCTGGGCCAGTGTAGACGCTCTTTTCCGGCTTTTCTAAAAGCCGGAAAAAAGCGGCGGACATTTTTATTTAAATGCCGCGGGGGATATTTAAATCCCCCGCGGATTTCCCTATTACGACCTGTGAAATTAACATGACCCTTTCGGAAAAGGGGCCAGTGTAGACGAGCCCTTATAGTCCTAGCCTTCACAGCCTCCTCTGTCAAGGAGTTCCACAGGTTGACTACACGCTGTGTGAAGAAGAACTTTCTTTTATTAGTTTTAAACATGCTACCCATTAATTTCATTTGGTGTCAGACTGAAACATTTCTTATATCATGCACAATCCTTTTGCAATAAAAGAGATGATTCATGGAGTAAAATACTTTCCAATAGAAGGTGAAATAGTCTTAAAGGATTAAATTCATGCATATTTGTGTCTGGATTATGGCAGAATCTCCTGTGAAATTAGTCAGAAGAAAATTAAAATAATGAGAAATTCATATAGTTTTGAGAAGAAGGTTGTCACCAACTGAGGTCAGAAAGAAATTTCCATTCATGTTACACTATTACACAAATAGAAACATTATAGTAAAGTTGACTTCTTCCTCTAAGGCCATTTAATTTTGATCACAGTTAGAGATAGAAAAGCTGTAGAAGTGAGTAATGGTTCTAGTAAAGCATTGACTATGTTCATAATCTTTGATGTTCAATAGAAACTTGTGGAGCTGGTTTTCTACCTTCTCTTTGAATGAATCCATAGTCTTAGTAAAGAAACCTGTTAAATCAAGAGCTTTTACAATAAAAGTGTGTTTAAAAATTAAGTCCTTTTGTATATCATTCTCTTCTGCTTTACACCTTTTATGTAGATATTTGTTCCATACAAAGATGATGCAAAATCATACCAATCAAGCTGCAACCCACTTTGTGTGAATGAAAATTACTTACACAAGGTGGAAAATCAAGGCTGTCATTTTCAAATAATCTAGCATGTGATCTTCTATAATTTCTTCTGAAAGTCATAATTCATGTAGCCCTTGCTATTCTAATTTACAATTCCATGATATTTTTCTTAGTTAGGTGTCTGTCAGCTTTTCAAAGGAAAAAAAATAAAAATAAAAAGGTTTCAACCATTGCACAGGTTCTTTATTTTTAGGACAAGGGAAGGTCAGAGTAGCAGTATTTCAACATTATGGGTATATCTACACTGCAGGACAAAGTCAAATTAAGATATGCAACTTCAGCTA